AGGAGTGGCCCGCGCTGCGGGTCGGCCATCGGGGCGCGAAGGCACCGGGCGACGGGGTGGAGGGCCAAAGGATTCGGACCGCGCGTTGCGAGAAGTGCGCGCGTGTGAGAGCCAAGAAGAAAGCGCGCAATGGGTACGCAAGCAGGAACAAAGCGCCCGAACAGTGTGGTGTTCGAGCGACGTGTGCCTCTCGCTTTTTGACAAGTTGGCGGCAACGTAGCCAGGGAGAGGTTTTGACGGAATTGCGCGGAGGAGAGGGATGGAGCAATCGCTGAGGCGGCGAACCGCAGGAGGAGAGCGGAGGCTTTGACGTGCGAGGCGTCAGGGGAATCTTTCGTGGACGCGAAGCAATCGCAGAAGGGGCCACTGGAGGATCACCGAAAAACGAAGCAGGCGCTCGTGGTGCGTGGGGACTGTAGCAAGCGTGGCAGCACCGCGAAGAGAGTGGCCGATGCGGCGAAACGGCTGGGCGAGAATTGACGCGCGCGGCGCGCGAAAAGAAGTTTCCGCGGCAGGGGCGCAACAACGACAGGCAGGAGAGTGATCACCTCAAGATCGCGAGTCTAGTTGCATGCGCAGGCTGCGTGGGCCTCGGCTTCACGGCGCGCAGTTGGCAATCGCACGAGGGCTTCGGCACCTGCAAAAGGAGACTCCCGAACTTTAGCTCGTCGTTTGACCGCATTTCGAACGTTCGCGCCACAGCGGAATCCTGAAGTGCAAGTCGTGCGCGTGAGACCCGCTGAAGCGTTGGGCAGCGCGCGAATGCTCGGGGCTGCAGAGGCGAACAGGAGGAGGAGGAGGAGGAGGAGGAGGAGGAGGAGGAGGAGGAGGAGGAGGAGGAGGAGGAGGAGGAGGAGGAGGAGGAGGAGGAGGAGGACGAGGACGAGGACGCGGGGACGGGGACGGGGACGGGGAGGAGGAGGAGGAGGAGGAGGAGGAGGAGGAGGAGGAGGAGGAGGAGGAGGAGGAGGATCAGCAGCATGTAGAGGTGGAGGAGGAGGAGGGGGTGGCGGAGGAGGAAGAGGAGGAGAAGGAGGAAAAGGTTGAGGAGGAAATGTGAGGATCTGGCTTGCGGGCGAGAGCGTAGGCCTCCGGAGGGCGTTCGGGGCGATCCTAGCACCCCCAGAACGCACGTTTCCACTTTGGATTTGGAGGCACTGCGCGGGAACCCTGACCGCGAACGGGGCTGTGGGCTTGACGCCACTCGGATGGCTTATGGGGTCTCGTGGGCGGGTTTTTGGGGGCGTGGGCGGGTTTTTGGGGGCGTGTTGGAACAAATTGTTGGTCCTCACGAGAGCCTCCTTGGGAGGTCTTGGTGGCTTTTGTGGGGACCTCTTGGGATTCCAGGGGGCCCTGGGGTTTTTGGGGGTGTTTCTTGGGACAACCTGGGAGCGTTTTGGGGCCGACGGGTCGAAATTTACGGTCGGGCTCCACTTCTGGACCCTTTCTGGGGGCCGTCTTGGGGCACTTTTCGGCCGGCTTGGGGGCTTGCTTGGCCGTCTTTGGCTGTCTGGGGCCTCCCTTGGGCCATTCTGGAGCCCTCGCGGGGGTTTCCTGGGCCGTCTAGGACGTTGGGACAACCCCAGAGGCGAAACTGCTAAAAATATACGTTTCCCAAAGGGAATGATTTGATTTTGGCTTCTGACGGCCCTCTGGGGGAGGCTGTTGTAGGCCTCGTGGAGCATTTAGGAAGCATCTTGAGCAGTGCGGGGGCCATCTTGGGCAGTTTGAAACGATACTCCGGCGAGCCAGGGCCCTCTTGGACCGTCTGGGTGGCCTCTTCGGAAGATTCTATGGTTGTCTTGGCGCTCCAGAGGGAGCCCTGGGAGTGCTGGACCCTCCGGGTGAGCTCGGGGGTGGGTCGTCACGGGCCCTAGGGGGGGGGGTCAAATTGCCGGTTTGGGGTCCGGGGGCGGGGGGGTCACGGGGGGGGGGGGGGGCAATTTCACACGCCTACAGACCCACAGGGGGTCGGTAGATTCGTTTTCGGTTGTGTGCCGATGTCCGATGCAGCCCGATCTTCCGCACCTTTCGATCCGATTTCCCGATTTCCCGATTTGGTGTTGCCTGATCTTGCATGCTTTGATTCTTCATTTCAAGTGCGAACAGGAGCGGTTTCATCCCGAAGGTCATGTCGGTTCCCTTCGCATGCATCGGGCGGCTTGAGTAAGGAACATTTCCTTTTCAAAAGGGGCTCCGTCGTTCCTTAGGCTTGCATGCGTTACTCCGTGCGCGTTATGTATTATTTCTCGTTCCATATGCGTCATTCCTTGGAAACAAAGGGGGGTCGTTCTTTATTTATTAGGCCGATCGGGGTCTTCTGGGCCCCTCTTAGGGGCATCGGGGCCCTCCTGGGGCGGTGGCTCGGGATCTCCTGGGTCCTCTCGGGCACCCTTCGCATCGAAAATGCGAGAGCATGCGGGCGCAGTTCTAAACCTGAGTCGGACCTGTCCCTCTACAGGAGGAATATTCAAAAATTATAGGCGGAGTGCAGTATCCCCAAACAAGGTTTTGAAACCCACTGCGGTTTCCAAGGTCGGGCGAAACGTGCTGCGAGGAAGTCTCAGGCGAAACGGGCCGGACCACCTCGAGCGCGGCGTCTTAGACTAGGAGATCCGAGTTGCGGGGGCCTCCTGGGGCCTCCTGGGGCCTCTTGGGGACCTCCTGGGGCTTCCGCCTGGGCCTCCTGTGGCCTCCTGGACCCCACCTGGGGTTTCCTGAAGCCTCTTGGGGCTCCCAGGGGGGGATATCTAACATGTGGCCGTCTGGGCCCCCCAAAACGGGGGGAGGGGAGGGGGAGCACAAGAGCAGGAAAAATCAACGAATCGACACAGGATGTGTATTAATTTGACACGTTCTGATAGGGGGCCTCCTGGGAATCTCCTGGGGACCCCCTGGGGCATGTCCTGGGCGTCCTGCGGCTTCCTGAAGCTCTCTAGGGCAACCTCGGGCTCCCAGGGTCCCAGGGGGGATATGTAACATGTGGTCTTCTGGGCCCCCAGGCTGGACCACCTCTTGCGCGGCATCTGGGAGCTCAGAGTTGCGAGAATGTCTTGTGCGAAACACGCCGGACCACCTTGCGCACGGCATCTCAGAGCTCAGAGTTGCGAGGATGTCTCAGGCGAAACGGGCTGGACCACGTCGCGCGCGGCATCTCCGAGGTCAGAGTTGCGAGGATGTCTTAAGCGAAATGGGCTGGACCACCTCTTGCGCGGCAGCTCAGAGCTCAGAGTTTGGAGGATGTCTGAGGCGAATTGGGCCAGACCACCTCGCGCGCGGCATCTCAGAGCTCAGAGTTTCAAGGACGTCTCAGACGAAACGGGCCGGACCACCTCTCGCGCGGCATTTTGGAAGGCAAACGTGCGAGGATGTCTCAAGTGAAACGGGCAGGACCACCTGTTGGGCGGCATCTCGGGGTCAGAGTTTGGAGGATGTCTCAAGCGAAACGTGCCGGACCTCCTCTCGCGCGGCATCAGAGAGTGCAGAGTTGCGAGGATGTCTCAGGCAAAACGGGCCGGACCACTTTGCGCACGGCATCTCAGGGCTCAGAGTTTGGAGGATGTCTCAGGCGAAACGGGCCGGACCACCTCTTGCGCGGCATCTCGGAGCCTAGAGTTTTGAGGATGTATCAAGCGAAATGGGCTGGACCACCTCTTGCGCGGCAGCTCAGAGCTCAGAGTTTGGAGGATGTCTGAGGCGAAACGGGCCAGACCACCTCGCGCGCGGCATCTCAGAGCTCAGAGTTTCGAGGACGTCTCAGACGAAACGGGCCGGACCACCTCTCGCGCGGCATTTGGGAGCTCAGAGTTTGGAGGATGTCTCAGGCGAAACGGGCCAGACCACTTTTCGCGCGGCATCTGGGAGCTCAGAATTTTGAGGATGTCTCAGGCGAAACGGGCCAGACCACCTCTTACGCGGCATTTGGGAGCTCAGAGTTTGGAGATGTCTCACGCGAAACGCCCAATCCCGACAACTCAGAAACGAGAGTTGCGAGGATGTTTCAGGCGAAACGGCCCAGACAACCAAATTTGTTTGAGGACGTCTCTGCTTTGAATTCCCTCGGCCGGAGTTAGCTTCTATCACACCAGCACCCCGTTCAGCAAGTTGTTTGGGGAATAAGAAAAAATAAGTCGGGGACGAGTTGTTGATTATTTCGTTATGTTTGAACATTTTTGGTGTATTTTTTTCCGTCCAAAATCGCCTGTAGGTGGACACGCCCGACTCAATTCTAAACCCTTACGGCTTCAAGACGGCCCAAGAGAGGCCCAAGACGGATCGGGGCAACGTAAGACTCGAGTGCGCCAGAATCCGATGTTGCCGACGCTCTCTGACGAGCTCGTCCTGGATTTTGGCGGTCCAGTTTTCGTGGGATGTTTGCAGCGGAAGTTCGCGCCACATTTCAGGCTGGGTCTCGTCCTTTTAATGATGGCCCCGTCAGGCCAACCCGAGTGCCCCGAACCCGAGTCTCATGTCTCCCCGAACAGCGTATATTGGAAGTTTAGATGCCATTCCCCCTTCCCGAGGCATCTGTAGCAAACAAGCGATGGCCCCGAGAGCACCCTAGGGCGCCCAGGAATCCCAGCCTTCGGACTCTTGCAGGGCACTTCCAAGAGTCACTGCTGAGGGCTACAGGGCCGCAGGTTCGGACGGGGCTAGGGCGAGGATAAATCCGTTCCAGAGCGTTCCAGAACGCTCTCGGATCGTTCCAGAACGCTCTGAGAAGGCCGCGGCGCCCGAGACATCATCCATAGCCGCTGGATCTCAGAGAGTCTCCATTTATCCTCGCCCGTTTTTGTCTTCGTCCTGGTTTAGCCTTAACAGGGGCTTGAGGACTGTAGAGGCAGTACCTGCGGCACAGAGACGGATAGGCAGAGACGGATAGATATTGCCGAATACGTGTGCAGACATGTAAAGGCCAGCGGGGAAGCATAAGCAGACAGAAAAACATAGGCACATGGACCGCCAGACAGTCAGAGGCAAGAACAGATACGCACCAACAGTTTTGGCAGCTTCGTTGCCTCAAGTCTCGCTAATTCTCGCTTGTCTGCACTCGTCGACCGCAACGGCATCGCACGTGAGCCCCATGGCGCGCGCACGTGTTGGATCGATGGATGGCGCATTCGTGCCCAAGATCATGCAGAAGGACCCTGTGGTGTGGGAAGGAGGGACGCGTGTGGAGAAGGACCTCCTCGGAGAGCGTGAGGTGCCCATCAATGCATATTATGGTGTGCAGACTTTGCGAGCCATCGAGTGCTACAACATCACGGGAATTCGAATAAGGAATTTCCCTGAGTTCATCATCGCCCTCGCGCAGGTGAAGAAGGCGTGCGCCCAGGCTAACTACAAGTTGGGCCACCTAAGCCAGGATGTGGCCGATGCCATCTGCCACGCCTGCGACGAGCTCATCGACCCAGACAGCACTGCTCTGGGCGAGAACAAGGGGAAGCTGATGCGCAAGGACTTCCTGGTCGACATGGTGCAAGGTGGAGCTGGTACTTCCACCAACATGAACGCTAACGAAGTTATTGCCAACCGCGCCCTGGAGCACCTCGGCAAACAGAAGGGGCAGTATGAGTTCTGCAGCCCAAATGACGACGTCAACAAGGGACAGTCCACCAACGATGCATACCCTTCTGCCGCGAAGATCGCACTGATCATCATGCACGAGGATCTCGTGCAGGCGATTTCCAAGTTGAGCAGCGCCTTCTTCGAGAAGGGCCGAGAGTTTGCCGACGTAGTCAAGATGGGCAGAACCCAGCTCCAAGATGCCGTGCCCATGACGCTGGGCCAGGAGTTCAACGCCTACGGCACCACGATTCGCTATGACCTGGAGAGCGTCAAGAGTGCCGTAAGCAAGTTCACCAGCACTAACTTGGGCGGCACTGCGATCGGTACTGGCATCGCAGCGGACAAGCACTTCTCGCAGGTGGTTGTCCAAGAGTTGCGAGAAGTTACCGGTTTCCCGATGGTCCTGGCAGACGATCTTATCGAGGCAAGTTCTAGCGTGAGCTGCATGTTGTTCTTCTCTGGCATCCTTAGGCGCGTGGCGGTGAAAGTGTCCAAAGTCTGCAACGACCTGCGCCTGCTTGCATCTGGACCCCGCTGCGGATTGGGCGAGATCAATCTGCCGCCGATGGCCCCTGGCTCTTCCATCATGCCCGGCAAGGTGAATCCAGTGATTCCAGAGGTAATGAACATGTGCTGTTTCGACACGATTGGGAACGACATCACCGTTTGCTTCGGCGCTGAGGCGGGACAGCTGGAACTCAACGTGATGGAGCCGGTGATCATCTATAAGCTCTTTACCTCGGTCCACGTTTTGACCCGAGGCATGAACATCTTGCGCGAACGGTGCATATCTGGTATCACAGCGAACCGCGAGCGCTGCCACGAGATGGTGCACAACAGCATTGGGATCGTCACTGCTCTGTTGCCCCACATCGGATACAAAAAGTGCACAGAGGCAGCAGCCAAAGCTCTCAAGGAGAAGAGGCCTGTCGCGGATATCGTTGTGGAGTTGGGGTACCTTGACAGTTCCAAGGTAGCTGAGCACCTGCAGCCAGAGAACATGTGCGGGCCCACAGCCAAGAAGCGGAAGATGTAGGTAGCGTGATTTGGGTGTGCATGGGACACTCGGCATGCCGACGTATTGTTTAAGGAGGAAATAGCCACGTACAGCAGGACCTTGGCAACATTTGAATGCTCACGAGGTCAGTGGCCCTTGGCTGACCCTGGAAGGCAGGTTCGAGACACAGGCCTTGCCCTATTGGCCTAATGCACCTCGCTTGTCTGGAAGGCCGTCGCGATGTTGGGCGCGCGCGTGCTTCAGGAGCCAATATAGTTCAATCGATGGCATGTCTCGTGGATGTTTCACCCTCGTGGATATTCCTCAGGCTGTCGCTGCAAGATCATCATCGCCATCATCATCATCATCATCATCAGCAGCAGCAGCAGCATCAGCATCAGCATCAGCATCAGCATCAGCATCATCATCATCATCATCATCATCATCATCATCATCATCATCATCGTCAGCAGCATCATCATCATCATCACCATCATCATCATCATCATCATCATTATCATCATCATCATCATCATCATCATCATCATCATCATCATCATCATCATCATCATCATTCGCGGCATGAGCACCGCAATCTGTGTGGTTGTCTGAACAGTAGTCCATATTCATGTCCATCACTGGCCACACATGCTGCCTAGTCAGTTTGCCCACCTGGGCCCATTCAAGAGCGTTGGCAAGATTCAGCGCGGAGGACTGCCGGGACCTGCAGACAGACACCCCTGTCTGTGCTCGCGGCACCGCGGCGGGCGAGCCCCAAATGTGCTTTCGAGTTCCCCTTGCTGGGCCCCGCTAGGTGGGCTCCTGTGCGCCCTCTGGAGGCTTGAGGGCCGCTCTGTGGCGGTATTGGGGGCCTCGTGGGCCGTCCTGGGCGCTCCTCAGACCAAAAGGAGCATGCGGAAGTCATGCATCTGCCTTAGGTGTTTCAGTGATGCTGGCCTCCTGGGCCAGCTCCCACGGCCTTCAGGCAGTCCAAGATGCCCCCGAGAAGGCTCCAGGACTGTCCCATGGGATCATTTCATTGTATGGTTTACCAGCCTGGAGCATACTCCTATCCCTATGCTGGGCACCTCCTCATCACGATGCCAATCTTAGGGATTCCCTTACTTTTTTGAGGGCGAATCCCGAAGATTGTCGTCGCCTTTTGGCGTGTCAATCTTAGGGATAGGGATACGTTCGAGGCTGGTAAACAATGCAAGCGTTGGATCCCGAGCCACGCGCCCGAGGCCTCCAGAAGAAAGTCCTGCTGCGATCCCCGGCGCCGCCTGGAGGTCCTCGGAAGTCCGAGCCCTGTGCCCCTCGGACGGTTTCTGCACCCCTCCTGAACTAGGGGACAACAAGTGACATAAACATAAAAACTCGGAGCTCGGCGCGGATTTCTCGGATCGGCGTTTGGGCCCCCTGGCGGCGCCTCCGGCGCCGCCCCTGGCGCGCTCCGCGCGCCAGGGAGGGGGGTCCAGCGCCTATCCGAGAAGGCCTGGCCGCCCGGCCGCGTCCTTGAGGCGACTGCCCTGCGATGAAGGCAAACACGCAGAGACTGCGGACGCACGATCGCCGGCACTGCCGCTCTTGCTTCAGGCACCAGAGGCGGGTGCACGTGCATTCAGGAGGAGGAACACACACAGACACAATTAATCATCGATTCCCCAGAAAATGTGGGAAAATATGGGAAGTGGGGGGAAGACAAAGACCCAGAAAATATAGGAAAATATGGGGAATGATTTTATTTGTGTATTTATTTGTGTGTCCTGGGGCCCCTTCATGCATGTCCATCGGCACGGATGGGCATCTGGGCTCGTGCGGCCCTGCCTCCCCGGGGAAGGCCGTGCCTGCCCTGAGGGTGAGGGCAGAAGATCCTAGGCTTCTGTCGCCCGACCAGTGTGGAAAGAGGGAGGGAGGGAAGGAGGGATGTCGGAGGGAGGCGGGAGGGAGGCAGGGGAGGGAAGGAGGGAGGGGAGGGAGGGAGGGAGGGAGGGAAGGAGGGGGAGGGAGGGAGGGAGGCAGGGCAGGGAGGGAGGGGGGGGAGAAGGAAGAGAAAAAGGATGACAGGGAGGTGCGGGGGGGGGGGGGGGCGGGAGCGTTTTTCCATTCCTCCCCGACCCCTGCCGCGCCAGGTGGGCACCCCGCTCTACATGTCCCCGGAGGTCCGCCGCGCGCGCGGCCGCCGCCGCCGCCGCCCGCCGCCGCGGGCTGCGGCGGGCGGGGTGCGCAGGGCGAGGGGGATGTCCGCGGCGAGCGCGGGGGGGCACGGCGAGAACTTGGCATCGCTCGGACGTGTGCATTTTTCCTTCGGCGAGGACCATCGAGGAGCATCCTTGACCATTTGGCGAAAAAAACACGCACGAAACCGAAAAAAGCACAGGGAATGGACGTCCGAGCGATGGCCAGAGAAGGGGGGGGGAAGTCTCGAACTCGAGGTCGCAACTCTTCGAACGTTTTCCTCGGCCCTCGGCGGTGGTCCCGCGTCGGGGTGCGTGCCAGCGGCCGTGTAGTGTCCCGGGGGGCGTTCCGGGGGGGTGCCCCGGGTCGCCCCGAGCGGCTGCCGGAGAGCCGTGTTAGGACCCGAGAGCCTCGGGGGTGGACAGACCTCCTACCCTGACACGTCGATTAAGGAATTGGCCGTTTTCGGTTCGCGAGAGGGCGTCGAGGCCGTCGTTTTTGCGGGTCCAGGTCCGTCGGTTTCGGTCCCAGGCCGTTTTCACTTAAGGGGAGGTGTACTGAAGGGAGGTTTGTCCACCGCCGAGAGCCACCAGGCGTCCGAGACGGAAAAGGCCATCTCAGCAGACGACGGGATTTCTCAGAAGCTCTCGCGCCTTCGAAGAGGTGTTTTGCGGCTTTGGGCGTGTTCTTCTGTTTTTGGTGTAACCAAGAATCCGTTAGTGTTCGCACCATTCATACGCAGCTCGCTTGCCAGTTTCCCCTGGCCTTCCTCGTCGGCCTGCATACTCTGAGCGGGCTCCTTCCTGTCCCTCCCTCGCTTCTTGTGCCTTTTCGGTGTGTGCCTCAATTCGCTCCCAGTGTACCCCACCGCTTGCTCACCGGCGTCTGACTGTCCTTGACCATTTGGCGCCCGCGGAAAAAGTGATCGCCTCGTTCCTGTACGCATGATTGGTGCACTGGCCTCCATGAGTCCCCCAGTACAGTAGGAAGTTGCTGTTTTCGTTGTCGTTGTTTGCCCGTTTCCGCGGGGTTTTGCCTCCCCGGTCCACTTCGACGCGGTCGCGCGCAAGTTCTTGGAGTTCCTAGAGAGTGAACGCCTTCCAAATCAAGCGTGGATTCTGTGGTTTGCCAACGTTTTCGGATGTAGTCGCCGTTTCTCCAAATGTTTGAAAAGTTTCGGGGTGCTTGCCTGCGTGTCGCCGAGAGCTGTCTGGAGCACCAGAGCGGCCCCCAGACACCCGAGGTAGAACCCGAAAGCCAGGATATCCCCACTTGAGACTCGAGGAGAGGGCCTCCTAGGCTCTCTACTCATAGGTTTTTGCACCCTTCTGGAGCCTCCTGGGGCGTGTTGTCGCCACGGCAGGATTCGCGTCGAAATTCTGATTCGATTGGATTGCACCACTTCCAGTCAACCAGTATAGTAAGGACGGGCTACCTTCCCAAGGGTACCCATGCATCCTTGCCTCCTCGGTCCATCCTTGGCCGCTTTCGCTGGCCACGCCCCGCTCGAAAAGCTTCGAAATGGGCGTCCAAGGCCCTTGCATCCTTATCGCGCATCTTGTCTATACGGGTTGACTTTAGAATGCACAACGAAAATCGCGTTTGCGGCGCGCTGTTTGGTCCTACGCTACGTAGGCAGCACCAGATATATTGTACCACGTTGTTCGCACCACGCACATAGCACAGCAGATATTGCACACTCACGAAAATTCTCGTTCAAATGAGATTGAGGATCTACCACCCTCCCGTGGCCAGACTTTCCCGCACCTCCCAGGTACTTCCAATTTGCATACGGTCTTATCCCATCGCACATTCAAAATGATAACTCGTACGATCCCAGCCAAGCCTGTGCCAAGCCCCCCTCGTCTTTTGCAAAGACGATTTTGCGTGCACGCATCTTCATCTTCAAATACTCGTGTTCACGAGCCCCGTGCACAACGGTATAGGACGAACTGCACGGGCGCGCGCGCATCCCAGAATTTTCCAAACAAAAAAACCAGAGTTGCGCAAGGAGTTCGCAATCGACTGCCCCGAAGCACGCATGAAACATTCGGTTTCCCAACAGGGGCTCTCAAAACACAACTGCGCTGCGCTCAATAGAAAAGCATAGGTTTCTCATTTTGTTCTTTCATGTGCGACCGAACGAGTCCCTCGCGCGCGCGCGTTGAAATTGTTCGAAGGCGCTTGCGCGCCTTGCGTCGCGCGAGTCCTCGGCGCTGGATTCCTTCCGTGGCCCACTGAGGCCACAAACTCTCTCACATGGCGCTGGATTCATTCCGTAGCCCTTTGGGTTCGAGCGGTTGTGTTGGGCGCAGGGCAGGGCCGCGGCTTCCTCGCCGCGGCGGCCCCTCCGCCAACCCCTGGGACTGATGCCGCCGTCCGGGGGCTTCGCGCAGCGTGGCCGGCGGTCGAACGGCGGCGCCGGCGACGAAGCGGAACGGGCGAGGCGTATAATGAGCACGTGGGATCCCCATGTGGTCTGGATTAACGATACGACGTTCAGGGTCGAGAGCGAGGGTTTGGACGTCGACGACGAAGCGATCGGGGATTTTGTTTGGTTTTTGGAGAGACAGGTGGAGGAGTGGCACGGGAGTAGCCCGCCGCGCTTGCTTGCATCTACTTTGAATTTTTCGAAGAATCGCATCTCGGACGCTGGAGCCTGCTCCCTGATGGCTGTCTGCAGGCGGTGCAACATTAGCGTGGAGAGGCTGAAGTTCTTCAGGAACCTGATCGGCGACGCTGGCGCGGAGGCCATCGGACAGTACCTGGCCGCCGCGCACAGGGCTGTCCAGGAGGTTCACTTGAGCCACAATCGCATTTCGGAGCGGGGCGCGCGGGCCTTTCTTGCCGCGCTGTCAGAGTCTCAGAAGTACCCGTTCCCCACGGAGGGCTCCAAGAGTGGCGCGCGCATGCCGCTGTGGCTCCGGATGGAGTACAACCGCATAGACTGGGCAAGTGTGACTCCGGTCTTCTTCAGCGAGCGGAACATCAGCTGGTGCACGGCAGGCTCGAAGGATGGGTGGCGGCGGGTGAACGGGAGCCCACCCGCGGTGTGCATGCACACCTCCCACCTCAGGCAGGACGAGGCCCCCCAGGAGGAGGCAGACCCGCCTCGCCCTGAGCTCGACGATGCTCGACCTGCCTCGTCCTCCTCGGAGGCAGAGAAGGCCCGCCCCAGCGGGGAAGACGCGGCGCTGGCCGCGGACAGCGCCGGCCCTGGCCGTGGGCTCCTGGACGTGCTGCAAAGGGTGGCCCCGGCGGCGAGCGTGCAGCACGCCGTTGGCGCGGGCGCGGACGCCGCGGCCCACCCGCGAGCGGCGCAGCGGCCGCAGCAGCGGTCGCCCGCGCTGCAGTTCTCGCAGGCGCCCATCGGCAGCGACAGCAGCGCGCGGCAGTGGCACCTCGAGCGGGCGGCGAGCCACCCGCCGCTCCAGCCTGGGGGCCGCGCCGCCGTGGAGCAGGCGCTGGAGGTGCTGGAGGCGCTGCCGGACGTCGGCGACGCCGAGGTGTACTGGCGGTGGCGAGAGCGCGTGGAGTCGGCGGAGGAGCCGCTGACGGAGGCGCGCCGCATCGGGGAGCTGGTGCGGCACCTAGTGCGCAGGCGCTTCGTGCTCGACGGGGCCGCAGAGGCCGCCGCCTCGAAGGCGCACCCCGCCCGCGGCGCCGCCGTCGGGCGGGGCGGCCGCCAGGGCGCCAAGCGGGACGGGGCCAGGCCGCACGAGGAGGAGGGCCGCGCCAGGCTCGACCAGCTCGCGCAGGCCTTGGGCGGCGTCATGCTGATGTCGCTGCTGGTCCATGCGCCCTCCGACGCGGAGGCGCAGCTCGGCGCGCCCGCCGAGGGCGCCGTGCGGGCTTCCGCGGGGCTGGTGGACGCGCTGCCCGGGCCCGACAGCGCCTCGGAGGCGAGGGCAGCGAAGGGGGCCCCCCCCTCGTCGGCGCGGGCCGACTCCTGCGCCGCGCCGGTGCCCAGCCTGGCGCCCTCGCGGGAGGAGGCCTCGCCGTCGAGGGGCGCAGTGCCCCAGGCCGCAGAGGTCAAGAGCAAGAAGGGCAAGAACAAGATCGGCGCTGCCCCTGCGCCCGGCCCGAGCGAGACGGCGACCACTGCTTCCTCCACCCCGGCCGGCACCAGCGTGCCGACGGGCTCCGCGGGGCGGTCGCGGGAGCCGTCGTCGCCCGCGGGCCCGCCCGCGGAGGCCACGTGGCCCGCCGTGTACCAGTGACGCTCGCCGGCTGGCCCCGAGACGCGCGGGGGCCCTCGGCCGTGGCCCGCGGCCCCGCGCCCACAGCTGGGCGAGGGGGCGGCCTGCCCACAGCCCGTCGAGGGGGCCGAGGCCCGACGAGTAGGGAGCGGCGTGGAGGGCACGAGCTGCGAGTCTGGCATGTCCCTCTAGAGGAGGAGCGTTCGAGAATCGTTCAAGCATCGTCAGGTGGCGATGTTTCGTGCTCTTTTGACTATTTGGGATCATTGTGTCGACGATGTTGACTGTTCTTCCACAGTCCGCCTGTAGGAGAACATGCCCGACCTAACACGAACTGCCCGAGGCCCACGCGGACTTCTTGGGTTGGCGCTGGGAGTCCCCCTGGCGCGGCTCCCGGCGCCACCCCTGGCGCGCCCCGCCTGCCAGTGGAGTCAAGAAGTGGCGAAGCGGCCTGGCATGCCTATAGGCCCGCCGAAGAATGTTCTAAGAATCCTTTGTGGGTTGCACGAAATGTTCGTATAACATTTCTGGCTGAGGCTGTCTTGTCTGAACACATCGGGTTTATGTGTTCAGAACCTTGTTTTTGTTATTAGAACGTTTGTTGGGTTCTGAGAACACGTCGTGGTAGGCCTAATTATTGGAATGCCTGGACGGTCGGTCCCTGCTCAACCAGGGGACGGGGGTGCAGCGCCGATCCAAGAAGAAGCCCGCGAGGACCTCCGAAAGGTTATGTTCGGGCCGTCTTTGCCTCTCCGCCTTCTTTCTAGAGGTGGGGGCTTCGGCATGTGCAGCGGGGCGCGCCGACAAGTGCGGGTTGCCGCTGCGCCGGCCACTTTTTCGGCACAGGGAGTGCTCGGAACCCTGCGCTGGATTTCAGTCGGGCATGTCCCTCTACAGGAGGAAGAACCAAGATGAATAAAACAATAGTCTGGTGACGAGTGTTCGTGCTCTTTTGACCATTTGTGATAATTGTTTGACTGTGTTTTATTTTGCTTCAACATCCGCCTATAGGAGGACATGCCCGATCTAAGGCTAGCTGTGGCGGACCGTCGCGGCAGAGGTGCTCGCGCGACGCCGATGCATCCTGCATGCGCCTCTGCCAGCGCAGGCAGCGAGGAGGCATGGATTTGCATCGGGGACGCAACGCCAGCAGCGACGCCCAGAGCCGAAGAGGTAGAAACGCCACAAGCATAATCTTTGGGCGCTCTGCGCGGATTTTGTGTATTCGCGCTGGGCCCCCCTCGCGGCGCCTCGGGCGCCGCCCCTGGCGCGCTCCGCGCCAAAGAGGAGGGTCCAGCGCAGATCCATGAAATCCGCGCGGAGCGCCAATAGTTTATGTTCTTGCCGCGTCTTCTTGTTCCGCAGAGGCTATGGCCGCCTCGGCCGTGCAAGTGGGCTCCCTCGCAGGCTTCGCGGCTGGTCCGGAGCCCAGAGTCTCCAGCGCCAGCCAACATCCTCGTGAGAAGGTTGCGGCCCGGGCGCCCTGTCCGCTCCTGGGCCGCTCCGCCCAGCCTGTCGGCAGGGCTCCCCGTTCCTCCTCGCACCCCCCCCCTTTACCAGCCTGACACACATTCTGACACATCTTCCTATCCCCACTGCGGGCATCCCCTCGTCTCCATGCTGATCTCCAGGATTGCCTCGGTTTCTGAGGACACACATCCCTAAGACTGTCGTCGCCTTTTGGCTCACCACTCTCAGGGATAGGGGTACACGTTGGCCGTTGCTGAAAGTAGGCATCTCTGGATTCCCAGATTCCAGCCTATTGTAGGCGCCTGCCTGCTTCCAGGATCGGGTGGTTTCCTCTTCCCCTCTTCAGGGTGCTGGCGGAAGCCCAGTCTACCTCGACGCCCTCCTACTTCACGTTCCTGCCCACTTCTTCCGACCGGCGAGTAAGTTCGAACCTGGTTACAGTCGGGGCCCTGAAGAAGGAACCCTTTTTGTTGGGGAGGGGCTCCGCGTTCCTGAAGTGTCTCGCAGCTTGCCTCAGGTGTTCCTTATGTTTTCGATCGGAAATCGAAGTTGAACTTATGGAAAAAAGGGGCCTCGTTCCTTATTTTGGGCTCCTTAGGTCAAGGCCCCGACTGTACCCCCTGTCCTGCGCCTAGCTGGCACGCCGCCACGAGGCGAGCAGCAGCGCCCAGCGCAGGGCTGGCATCCCCGCACCTCTACCCGGTGGCTCTCAAAGATGGGGTCCTGAGAGGCGCGGTCCCGAGGACGAGGTTCGGACGCGCAAGCAGAGGGGGTGATTCGGAGCTTCGAACTTGGAGGTTCAAGCTTCGAGGCAGTCTTAGGACGAGGTTCGGACGCAGGAGGAGGAGGAGGAGGAGGAGGAGGAGGAGGAGGAGGAGGAGGAAGTGGGGGAGGGGGAGAGGGGGAGGAGGGAAGCAAAAGGAAAAGGAGAAGGAGGGGGATCCGGGGATCGATTCTGACCGATATTCGGCCACGCGCAGACGTGGGACGGCTGCTTAGAAGCACCCCTGCTTCTCGGAAATCGCGGGCGTTGTCTGTAGATGTGCGGCCGACGCCTTCTCAGAAGCAGCCGCCTGCTCAGAAGCCTTCCCCCCTCCCCCTCCCCCTGCTCCCTCGTGCGCGCGCCCGACGCCCACCCTTGGGTTCTTCCTATCCTCAGGACCTCAGTGGGCCCTGGAAACGACAGGGCCGTTTTTTGCAGGTTCCGTTTTGCCGTTTTTGTTGCCGCTTCCGACGCCGTTTTTTTACCGGTTCCGTCGCCGTCTTTTGACCGGTTCCGGCCCCAGTTCCACTCCTGGAGCAGTTTTTCTGCCGTTTCGGGTCGCCGTTTTTTTGCCGTTCCCATTTGCAAGGGACATTTGTTTCGAACACGGTGAAAAAACGGCCCTGCCGTTTCTGGGGCCCGCTAAGCTCAGGATCCCATCGCTCAGGGCCCTTCGGTCGCGCCGCGCCGCCTCGATCGCTCGCTGCTCCGGCAGCTTGCGCGGGCCCTGCGGGTCCTCGGTGCCCCGCGGGGCCGAGGCTCCTCTTCCCTTCCCCCTTCGTCGCCAGCCCTGGCTGGGCACTGGCTCCTCGATCCAGCCCGCTGCCCGCTGCCCGTCTCGGCGCCCCCTCTGTGAACCACCGATTTCTCCTCTCCCGCGCCGCCGCCCTCGGGTGCCACCCGCGGGTGTGCGGTGATGACCCGGGCCCCGCGCGCCGCGACGCCGGATGATCGGCGCGGAGCGAGGCGGCACAGGAGATTGGTCCGCGACCCCCCGGGAGATTCTCCCGGAGGCCTCCGCGGAGGCCCCTGGAGGTCGGGGGGCCCAAAACGGTGTGGTGACCACACCGTGCGGTGAGTCTGTGGGGATTCGGGGTCACCGCACGGTTTTGGGACTCGGGTCGTTCTCCGAGGACGTCTCGGGCGATAGGGGCATCCGAGGTCCCAAAACCGTGCGTTGACGGACCGTGCGGTGAGGTCTTGGGGGATTTCGAGGTCACCGCACGGTTTGTCACCGTTTCGGGACTCCAAAGGAGGCGTCCCGGCGCGGCCATTGAGGCCGCGGGGCGGTTTTCAGGGTCGGGGACGGCGCCGGGGTGCTGTGGTGCATGTTCGTTTCCCCGCTTGCCTGGGGGATGATCCCGGCAAAGCAGCCTAACAGCGATGTGTATAAGCATATCTGGAAGCATTCCCCTTGAGATTCAGGTGAGAATCCAGTTGTAGAATTCTGCTGTTCTCGCAGTCGCAGTCGCATTCGCAATGACATGTATGTTTGTTTCCCCGTTTGCCTGGGGGAACTGTGAAAAATTATACACCAGGCTCCCATTACACCAGGATCCGGTTGCCTGTACAGATTTCAGTACGAGGCCAGGAAAAGCATCGGTGTGTAGAGTTCGGCTCCTGAGTCACATATCTTTATTCCACGGACCGTTTTGATCGATTTCTTCTAACCCCACCTTTGCCCGTACCACATCTTTACATCCCCTTGGCAAGGCAGCTTGTGGGGAGCACATCGGCGTATTTCGAGGTCTGCGAGATGGGGTCCGAGTAATTAGATGGGGTCGGAGGATCATGCCGCATCGCCGATGCATCGACGATGCGGCTCGATGTGGAGCCCGAAATTGCTTGCGCCGCCTTCGCCGATACACCGCCGACGTCGCCGATGCATCGCTGGTACATCGGCGGTGTGTCGGCGGTGTGTCGGGGGTGCGTTGGCGATGCGGCGCGATCCTCCGACCCCATCCACTCGGACACCATCTAGGGGGCCTCTAATATGCACATGTCCTTACAGTCGGGGCGCTGAAGAAGGAAGCCTCGTTGGGGAGGGGCTCGGTGTTCCTGGATTGTTTCAAAGTTTGCCTCGGGTTTGCCTGAGGTTTTCCATGGGGAATCGAAGTGTAACTTATGGAAAAAAGGGGCCCCGTTCCTTATTCAGGGTTCCTTAGGTCAACGCCCCGACTGTACTCCACGGGTCGTTTTGATCGATCTTCCTCTAAGCCCAACTCTGCCTTTGGCCCGCACCTTTACCTTCCCCGGCAGGGCAGTCTGTGGGGCACACGTCGGCGTGTTTCGAGGCCTCTGAGATGGGGTCCGAGCAGATGGGGTCGCAGGGTCGCGCCGCATCGCAGATGCATTGGCGAAGCGGCTCGATGTGGATCCCGAGTTTCTCCACGCCGACGTCGCGGATGCCTCGCTGGCGTCGCCGACGCATCGATGATGCATCGACGATGCGGCGAGGTCCTCAGACACCATCTGCTCGGACCCCATCGGGGAGGCATCTAGTGCTACAGCGGAGGCCCATGCAAAGAAACACCCTGCTTGCCTCCAGGGTGCCCTGGGTTTCGTGCGTTTCGATGGTCTTGCTATGAGAAGCGTGACGCTCCCACACCAAACATCAATGGACGTCCTGGGGTCTCAGGGTTGGGTTTCTTGTGGAAGGTCTCTTGTGGACTGGCCTCCACTCTAGTTCAGGAGAGGAAAAAACACATACACAATGAATCGTCGACTCCCCAGAAAATATGGGAAAATGGGGGAATTGGGTGGGAAGACGAAAACCCAAAAAATATGG